CAGTTGTAATTACAGATAATAATGGATAGATGATAATCTAATGTCCAAAGTATTAAGTGTCACTGATTCGAAATTTCTACTCGGTTAACTATACAGTCTATGACACTATATTAGAACTTCATGGACTTTTTGGCACCATAAAGCTTATTGCTAGTAAGTACACATAAACTCTTATTTCTATGGTATTCATTAGGACAAATTTTGTTATAGTTGAATGGATTTCCACTAGTCAGTTTATTTATTTGATTGATTTTTTTATTGTAAAACAATCTATCATAAGTAGTCGAGTGAAATTACTCTAACATTAACATGTCAGAGTATATGATTAGTCCAAGTTTAACCAAAATCATCAGCAGGAAGACCGGATAGTCAAGAACATCTCGATTTTTTCTAAGGTTACTAATAATTGTAATAGGTTAAACCAGAATATAGCTGTGAGGAAACTAGGTTTCTAAAGATGTTAAATGAAGAATAACGAATGGTAAAAAAGGCATGCGAAAATTTGAAAGATATCTAATATTAAAATATCGTTTATTCTAGGATTTTGCAGAGAGGCATATGATCTGAAGCTTGTTTTTACCATTATATTTGACATGAGCTGAAATACAAAAAGAAATCAGATAGTAGGTAGTTGTTTGAAGCTTTTCAATGGTCTCCACTTACATTTAAATTGAAGATTGAACCCAGAAACTTTAGGTCCTGAGACATATATGGTATAATTAACTGATTTTCCTTTAAAATAAACAGATCCCGTACAAAACCACTTCCTGAATAAGTCACCTCATGCGTACTTTGTTTTATTTGCGCATAAATTAGGGGATACTTATTTACTGTTTCTGAGGACAATCATCATTTCAATTGAAAATTTGAAAAAGCAGATTTTAAAGATTAATTATAAATAGAGTGTATCATATATCACCAAAGCTCATTCAATATCAGTGTTTAGGTTTCAACTTTATGTTGAAAAATTTGGTGTTATGTCAATAAACATATTTTACATTAGAACTTGGTGAAGAGAGGCTCCCAATTATGTAACTAACCTTGATAACTAAATGGCAACTGGAAAGATATAGTGATGTAAAGTTCTGTTCTGGTTGTCTTGAAAGAAATTAAACCACTCATCTTGGACAACAAATATGATACACTGAATTCTACCTATCCCGTAAGTTGTAAAATTTATCTAAATGCAAGAAATTACAAATAAACATAATGAACACCAGTCAACCAGCTATGATACTTAACGCACATCGCTAGGTAGTTCATAGATGTGTATTTATATGTTTAAATCAATACTCATTCACTAATTTATATAAACTGGTTCTACTAAACTGTTTGAATATAATAAGGGAAAACAAGAATATTTACACAACAAAGATACCCGAATATTCTTTAGAAATTTAATTATCCACAATTCTTTACTCCATGTTCACCTATTAAACATCGAATCAATTAAATACCTAATATCTCTACCTGTAGTTTTTATTTAAAACAAACAGGTGTTTACTGACCTACCTTTCCACCCAAATCATTAATATTACTAGTAATGATACCAATGTTACTTTCCACCCCTAGCGACATGAATAAATCTACCTTCAGTGATTATCATTGTATCCATCCAATCACTTTTCGTTTATGTTTTTTTCTTATTTTCAATATTCTATTAGGATCTATACTGCATTAAATTCTTTACTAAATTCATCCTATTAGATACCCTATACATTTTTCCCATACTTCCTATTCTACAATTTGTATCTTGATTCTTGCTTTTTTTAAAAATATTTTTATTTGTGTGCGCGTATTTCTATTCTTATTACGGTGCTTATTTCTCAACAGCACACATATACTACACAGATACACATACATACATGTGATTTTCGTTATTCTATTTATTTTCTTTGTAGTTAATATGTGCAAATGTTTACACCTGTAATCTATTTAATTTATAAATAATAATAATAAGGATGTATACAATTGGATTATTTTCCAGAATCATATTATATAACTTATGACTTACGTTTATGAGTGATGTTACAATGTAAATCTTTGTATATTTGTATGGCTGTAATTCATAAATAAATAATTATTTAATAATTATGCTGTATGAAAATAGTATTGGTCAACAAACTGATTTCGGATTAATAGACTTGAAATAAAGTTTGGATTACTTCTGAATTAATCAGTGATAGCTATATTGTATTGTATTATTGGTTTTTGACTTATGTTTTTCTGTAGCTTTACATAAATACTATTGGACTGTCCTAAGCTGAATTGAAACGTTTTTCTAGTGCCAATAGGTTTCCTACAGTTTTTCAGTAGGTATCATTTTGTAATGAAACTCGTTTCTGAAGTCAAACAAGTAAATTTTGAAATGCTGAATTATCACAATATAGTATCTTTGTTTCTTTTCAAGCAAGGTTATAAATGCTTGTGAAATTTTTGGATTTATTTTTTTTTAAAACAGTCTGATGAAAAGACATACTATTGAAAAGTGTTAACATTTGGTAATCAGCAATCATCAAGTTTTCCCAGTTTTATATCTGACATACGATTTAATATTTTAAGGTTGAGCTTACCGACAAACCTGTTGACCCAGTCTCGAAAGTATCAATCAAGCTTCAATAATAAATAGTAACCGCTTAACAATGTATCTGTCATGACCTAGCAGCTAAACGGTTAACTAATTGACATTTGAAGTAAGAGATCCAGCATTTGAGTCTAAGCAGAAAATCTTAGACTTACTGGGTTGTACTTGTATGTCCAGTTTGTAAGTGCTAAATAAATATACTTCCTGAACTGCAGTCATGGCCATGGCTAATGCTATCTAAATAGTCGATCGTTAATAATCTTCAACTTTTGATGATTCTTGAGCTACTAATAAATTTAAATGCAAAAATAACAAATCAACCGTTCAAAAGTTCGGCAATTTCTATATATATCTTGAAACAGCCTATAAAAATCAGTTAAAAGTGAATACCAGAATATTGTTTTAGTACTATTACGAACCTGATGCACTCGATTCATATTACACCTTTGAAAATGTTTAAATAATAGACATGATTATCTCAAATCTACTTTTAAAACCTTGACTACATGACAAATATGACACAACAAAAACGGAATTTAAAAACAACTTTGTACACATTAAATTACCCCTTGTGAAATCCATTCACCGTGATCTCATCAATTGATAGAGCACTTATTAACTTTCTTCGATCTACTACTCGGTGGCAGTTACAGAAGTTAAGTGGTTGAGATTTCTTTGAATTAAATGGTTAAAGTTTGTTAGTCGTGCCTAACCACAAGTGATCTCAGTGCAATGTGACAGATAATGTATAAGAAAGTTTAGAAAACCTTAAGTTTTATCGGACTTTGTATCAACCTGTAAAACTATTATCTGTTCATCCAGGCTGTCTGAAAAGATGCAGATTTTCTGGGTGGAATCAGAGTGAAAATCATAACGTATGCTTGGATACATTAATTAACAATTCTTGGAATCCGTCTCAGAAGTACAGATTCACTCATCACTTATCTTAGTGTAAAACTTAGATCACGTATTATTCCCACGCCTTTCCATTCACTATGTTAATCATTCATCTTGAAATGTCGTTGCTATTCAACTTTCCACCACATTTATGTTGTTGTCATTCTAATTCTTTGGGTTTACATCCTACTAATTTTCTCCTTCTCACTTTTTCTCAATGTTGATGTGAGCTGTGACACCGAAAAGCGTTAAATCTTCACACCAGATTCTATATTGTTTACGTTTGTCTGTTTATAAAAAAACGCTGTTGGAGGCGATCTTTCTCTAAATTAAGAGATGACCAACAGATCTATGAATAACTTACACTTTTAATTTCATTTACATATAGCAGCTGATTAATTTGATTCATCAGGGTTCTTGATAAAGATAATTCAAATGTTTTGTGCTAAAGTATTTTTGAAAAAAATTGTCGATTTTACAATTGTTGCTCAGTGATTATTAGGGAAATGTCTCCTATGAGTGTATTTCTAAAGGCTATAAACAAAATCCATACACATCTACCAGTTTAAATATATATGTACTATTACACTTGATTTAAATCATGAGTCAATTGAAGCTAGATCACCATGGAAAACCTGGAAGTACTGGACGGCCGTTTCCTCCTAGTGTGGGACTCCTCAGCAATGCGCATCCACGATCCCGCACCACGCGGGATTCAAACCCGGGACCTATCAGTCTCGCACCAGGTGCTTAACCACTAGACCACTGAACCGGCATCCAACGGTGTTAATGTCTAACTTCAACCAATCCACGAAGTTGCGCCACCGTACATCATTGTCTTCAGTGAGTTGATTTCTCATAACAGATCTTGTTGAACTGCGCTGGTAACGGCTTCTCACTAGAACTCCAGGAGTTTTTCCTGAAGTCAGTCACTAGTGAGCAGATGATTATTATCAGAAGGAGTTTTGTGGAGATTTTAGAAATTTCACTTGATTGAAATCATAAGTCGATTGAGGGATCGTGGATAAGCACTACTGAGGAGTCCCATACTAGGACGAAACGGCCGTCAAGTGCTTCCAGGTGATGGGCTCTCAAGAGTTTCTTCGAGTAATCTCTCTCGTTTCCTAAAAATCAAGTCTCAAAAGTATTAGGCATAGTAATGTTATCTCAACAATAGAGCCACAACTATTTCTAATCATTTCATCACTTACTCATAGATATTTTGTTTATGTAAATGATTTAGAACTAAAATATCTGTCAACTTAATTTTCCACTTAGTGCTTTTGTTCTTTTGTAATTACTCATATTTCATTGAATGTCCTAGTTTTTGGTAACTGTAAGATATTTTTCTAGGATATATATATATATATTACCAAACGCACAAAATCGTGTGTAGGTATGATACATACATCTTGTATTGTTTCCACTAGTTATCGTGTTTGTTTACTTCTTATTACATATTAACTTATAGATGATATGTTTAACTATTTTATGCTTTGTTTCAACCCTGATTACTCAGAAAAATTTGAAGTTACATTCGTGAAATAATTTCTTATACAAGAGACCTAGCTAACTGAAGTGAGAGTGTGAACTTTCATCAGGAAATAACCGCTGATATTATCAATTCCTAATTGTTGTTGTAACTCTTTGGTCTCAAGTAATACAGCATGATTTCAATGTGTATTTGTTCGTTGTCACATATTTGAATCTACTATGCAGGTAATCTGATATTTTAGCCTTATACACGTTTGGCATTAACAGTTACATTTATCTTGGCTTAGTTTGTTATTTTCCAGTGTTCAGCATCTGTATCAGTCAACTAGCAAATGTGGAATGTTACATTGAGATTAAATCCTTTGAAAATGAGCAATGATAATTAAATAGTTACAGGATTCAAACCAACTTCATTATTTTTACTCCAATCAAGAACATTGACTGGTCTTAATGTTATTTTTTTTAATGATGAGTTACAAAGGTCTCAGAATATTTCAAATATGATTTCATCGTCTAATCCTGAGAACTACATGCTTTACGTACTATGAAGATTTCTTTAAGATTGATACTTTGGGAAGGAATTTACTCATCAAAATTATATTGATGGACGACACGAGTTACAATTTTATCGAATAAAACAGGAAACAAAGATAACTCCATTTAGATATAACTATAATAATGTACTGAATTTCCAATCTACTATGTGTCAAACCACCACGTCATTTCAATATACGTCGTTACTCTGTGTTTTGAAAGACTCATTTAGTGACAACAACTGTTTGTTTTTGTAGATATCTTCAGATTGTTGGTTCAGTAAAATGATACTAAATACTACCATTATCTCTCGTTTCATTATATCAAAAATACTACACCTAACGTGAAGCTCATGTGCACACATTAATCGAAAGAGTAGAAAAATCCACTTGATTAATAATATGTCCTATATAAATTAGAACACAAAATGTCAACCATCTGATATAAACCATCTTTGATGTTATTCGAAATCACTCATTCTAAATATATTAGTGCATATATTGTCTAATTAATTCCTTTCTGCATATTTCACCAAAAAATATTCCATTTTTACATAATCAATAGTTGTGTTTCAAATCTATCCTATCCCTGTTTGATATGTTTTTCAGGTTGGTTAAATTGGTAGACAGACACATGTACTATTGTCTGCTGTTTATCTCTCCATTAAATGTTTTATAAATAATCCCTTGCAGGCTAACCCCTCCCACACTTTTGATTAACTTGTACCTTAAAGAGAGAGAGAGAGAGAGTGAAATTAAAGAATTGACAGCTCTTAAATATACATACACATGAAAATAATGTTCTACAGGGGCGATAAACATTATAGTTTAATGATTTTATCATAACTGTCGACAGAACAAGCATAATCTATAAACAGTCATTCAAAGTATGTGGATTAATTTTTTTATAAAAAAACAAACAAATTTTACACATAAATATATGATATTTAAAGAACAGAATCCCTGCTGTGTTCTACTTCATAAAGTATGAAAATATGGAATTATGTTGATGATAATGATTCTGATGAAAAGATCACTTTTCCTAAGCTTTTCTCATTGAAATGTACTCGTACATCCATACTCACTAACTAGTTTACTGATCTGATTAATCCAGATGTTATGTTTTGTAAATCAGAAGCAAAGGAAATTGTTATTACATATTATGTAATGTTATATTGAAAACTTACTGCAGTGTTTATATGAATGACTGTTAAGTTAGTTTTTTTATTATTTTTTAATATACACTAACGGGATTTATAATCCAGTTGCTAAATTAAGAAATACTTGCGTCATTTGTATCCTCTTAAATATTTACACACAGGTTGTACACGTGTACACAAGAAACATATGTCAATTATTAATTGTTCTTATACACTTCTGGATAAGTATAGGTGGAATATAATCCTAAAAAAAAATTATTTTTCTAAGAAATCAAATTAAATTCAAGATTGTTTTTCATCATAAACTTAAATCAATCAATCAACTGTCAGTAATCATAAAACTCTGAACAGAGATCATGTTGCTTATTGGAAAATTTTGTGATAGCTGATTAAGGATAACAAAAATCCTAAATCTTTTGGCAGTGTTGAGATCTTTGAGTTGAACATTTAATATTAAAGCTTTTCGTTTCGTTGTGAACAATGTCACTCATTATGTTACGCTTAAAATATGAATTTTTCTTTATTATTTCAAAATAAACAATTGTTCTAACAGATACGTTATCCTTTATGCTCTCGATTTCAGCTACTACTAGAACATGGTGGTCGAGTTTGCATTTTGTGACTACCTGGCCGAGCTATATTGTCTGAAATATTCGATCCTATCATCCCAAGTAGGTTGGCTAGAAAGCGGTAAGATTAAAAACAACAAACTCGTGGTCCGGGGTTAAAGCCATAAAGCCAAGTGTTATGAAATATGGTAGTAGTTAGGTGTTTTCCTCAAACAATCAAACTGTTCAACAATTCTACCATCTTACAGTGAAAGGAATGGGTTATAAAAGGTCAGCTTAAAAAAACAGCACACCTCGCCTTATTCCATAGGTTTCCATCTTCATCGGTAAGGTTTTAAAAGTGTGGAAGTAGCTTATCTAAAACTACTCGGAAAAAGGTCATGTATTCCTTTGGATCTGGGGTCACACTCTTAGGCGGTTAAGACCACTACTAATACATTTCCTTTTACTCGCGTCTCAATAAAAAAAATACTATTTTAGCCAGAAAGTAAAAACCGCTCTTATACCTACAACAACATGTGAGATCACCTCGTTCACAATCAAATCCCATCTTGATTAACAAATAGTTCTTCTGTTTCTACCATTAAACATCATCTTCTGTCTTCGAATTCCTCTACATATTTTACCAGTGCAAACGACTAGAGTTCAAGAAATGCTATCCTAGGTCTCCTGAAACCACGCTCCAAGCTATATGTTAAAGCTTCCAATGTTCAAACCCAAAGCCAAATCAAATAATAGACACCACTAGCTAAAGTGATAGAATTTGACGCCATTAATTTATGCTGTCTCCGAAATATGCATACAAGATTCCAACATTATCGTTGATTTGACCTCGTCTAATAAAATATCCTCTCGTAATAAATCAAGAGAAATCAGTCTGACTAAAATAGTATTTAAAACACTAGCCTCCATAATAATCTAACGTTTACCGGCTTCTCAGAAACAACTCCGAGAAAGTCACGTTGGTTTCAGGAGCAAGCGTGAACGTACTGATCAACTATTCGCCAGGTTTTATAGTACAGGAATACTTACCGATGTATAACTGTAGTTGTATTTTAACTGAGAGGTTTCGTGGCAATATTTGTTGTTGAAAGGAGTACCAAAATACTTCATGAACCTTGTGAAGAATCTCTCAGCAGACACTATTCATCGAGCTAGAGCTTATGGTAAACTGTCATTAGAGCTTTCAACCCCAATTATCCTTCGTCAGAGTTGCACACTAGAACCATTTTTATTTAATTTTTTTCACCCATATTGTACTTGAAATAACGTTTTCTTTGCCTGAATTCCCCGGAATTTATCCCCTTCCATAAGATATACTTGTTGACTCAGAATAGATAAATGATATGGTTCTATCTGGTGAACATGCTAAGAAAAATACAGTCTTCTTAACATCTTGAACAAAAATGCAGGCATGTTTGGGATACGATTCTCTCCTTTTAAATGCAAAATGTAGCTTCAGAACCAATCTGCGTCAACACCTGAAATATTGATAGGCAGCGGAGTAGTTGAGCACTTCTATCATTTCACTCATTTTGAAAGTCTTGCAAATCTTGGTTGGTATCTGACGAAATTTCAATAAAAATTCGGAAATTTATGCTGGCTTTTCCAACTTGCTACGCCTAAGGCGTAGATGCCGGCTCAGTGGTCTAAAGATTAAGCGTTCACGCGCGAGACCGAAGGTCCTAGGTTCGAGTCTCAAGTGAGGGATCATGGGTGCGCACTGCTGAGGAGTCCGGCACTAAGACGAAACCCATGTCTAGCGATTCCAGGTTTTCGATGCTGCTCTAGCTTAAATCGACTCATGAATTCAACTATTACAATATTTCGATCTCTACAAACTCCCATTCTGATATTAATCATAATTGTTTATTATGCATAGCTGAAGAGTTATAAATTTTGTAACAATCAATGTTTCAAACTTCTGCAAGTCACTCAGTTTTTGATTAACGTTTAAAATAATTAGCTCATTTGATAAACTGACACAGTATAATGAGAAAATGAGATTTATTAAGACAGTGGGCTACATTGGAGTAATGTAAACCAAGTAATTTGATCACGTAATACATTTATGTGAGGAATGAAAAAGTTATTCTATGCAAACGGCAACAGTAGGATCAACAAATATAATGAGAACATTAATCAAATCCCTCTGGATACTAAACTAAAATATGTATTACCAGGGTCGATTGTATGTAAGAGTACAAACTGATTTCGAGCACACACGATGGCTCCGATCTGATTATTTTGAATATATCAAGCTAATAAATCATACATTTCCAATAAAATTTATCTCCTTATTGTACTATCGAGATTGTCAACATACTCTGTTTACAGTTACTTATTCTTATTTATCCTTCTTGTGTCGTTTATCTGAGAATTCCCATTGTATTGTCATTAGGCCAAAACATTAACTGTGTGTTGTATATGTGTTCGGTTGATTGCATACAGATGTTGTAGAATAAATGGCTGTCAAAAATACTTTCCACAAGTTTTTTTCACATATATAAAGAGAAGATTCAGTAAAAACGATTAACATACATTCAGACACCTCATGTTTCATAGATGAATTATTTTAGATTGCTAAATGAATCAACCTTACTTAAAATAAAAATATGGATCGTTTAATTTCAGCTAAATGATCTAAAGTTAGCACACTCATCATTATAAATAAAGGTTCTGATTTTCATTATTAGCAAGTTACTGGGTGCATACAAAGTAGGAGTCTAAAGTATCAATAAGACGACTACCTAGCGTTTCTTGATTTTTTAAAATGATTTCCTAAGAGATCTCATTTCGTGATGAAAATTGACATTGAGTTCAGTAATCATTTATCACAAAACGATACTAATTTATTTAGTGATTACAAATGAGTGTTTCTACTTATATAATGAGTCATAAAATGATCCATTTTTAGAACAGAAAATTTTATTCGTTATACTTCAGAAAATTTTACTTTAAAGTTACTCAGTTATATCTAAAACATTTTGTCATTGTCAAAGTAATTGATTATAGGGCAAGTTTATCTTTTTTTACTTGAGATATGTAATACTATTCTAGATTTTAAAATGTTTTCAATTTTGGTGAAAGTTTCCAACTAAATTTTACTGTGCGAATAGAGATAATAGCAGAATCGCTAGTAATACTACTTCTATTATTATTATTATTATTATTATTATTATTATTATTATTATTATTATTTCTATCCTTGTTACAGTTGCGTTACTGGTGTTTGCAAACACAAAATCATTGTACACATCACATAACTGATTATAATGAAATAATAAGGTTCATTGTAGACAAAGTTTGCCTACTTCTCTGTTAATTGATGTTTTATTTTACAATGGGGTTGATCTTTTTCCCCATTGGTCAGCAAATTTTGGTGGTTTATTTTTATGGTCTCATTTTCATGGTACACACTTTCATTAACTCATCATTTGATGTACCCTGTGATCAACTATTGAAGATTATGAAGGACTGAATTAGTGCCTTCTCTCATTTTGTAACTTTACAGCATACCTATACTTCATGCGCAAATTAAACTCGACTCCTTTATCTTTTCTATATGAAACATATTTCAATTCAATCATTATGCTTATAATTCATGATTCACATTCTCGTATTTTAATAATTTTATCACAGAATGTGACTACTATAATCAGCGGTCATTCCTCTGCATTCTTAACTTACTTGGTGAATATTGTTTCAGATAGTAAGCATAAGCATTGAATTTATCATAAACAGTTTGTAATTCTCGATATTAGTATGATTAATTTATAAAGCTCTTTCACAATACAAAATATGGTGGTAACAAACGTTTTGACAAACAATGATGAATAAATAAACAAGTCGACTAAATAATTGAAAGTAATGACGTAAAGTCGCATACAAAAGTGGATCAGTTACATTATTTTTATTATTCTGAAGCATCCGAACTAGGTAAAGTGATCAATCTGAACTAAACGGAGAAAACTATGGATAAATAGTGAGAATTAAAAGTTCAAGAGGAAAAAAGTAGAGAGAAGAACGAAGTTGTAATACTGATGTTAATCTTTATTAATTTTTGTTCAAGACTTCAGTTACTCACTTTTTATTTGTCAATAATCTGGGTATTGAGTGGTTTGGCGAAAAAGTATGATGACTTGATATTATTTCAAAAATATACATTTGTTAGCTGACACTTAAAATATATTACTTGTCTTATTAATCTGACATTTGATAAAAAGATTAAAATCGGTATTAATATGCTACATATAAGCGATTCATTATTTATTTAAATAATATTTATTAAAGATCAAACAATTTACAGTTATCCACTTTTATTTTTCTTCCATTTTTTGTGTTTTAGAACTCAGTGAAACCAATAAATTATTGTCATACAAATAACAAACAACAGATCGTCAACACACCGTCTACATCATCGTTAATAACACCGTCAAAATTATACTCTCCATCTTTTAGTAATTATAATCAAACATATGGTACAATATCCTTATCTCAACTACATCAATTACATACACGTAAATGGGCAAATTAAGGAAATAAAATAAATTTTTTTGCGAAAATCTGTAAACATGTTTTTTTTTCCTCTTGATCTTCATATTATTTATTAGATCATTAAATGTACACATTCATCTCAGGGATAAATCATTAGCAAATGAATAATACAATGTCCAAATTGCAATGTGTACTTTTTATTATGATTAAAATTTAACACCACTACCGTGATTTTCTGAGAAAAAAAATTTTGAATTTTAAATCATTTCTATGAAATTTTCACATTTACTACTTCAATGAACTGATTCTTCTTTTATAATTTATAAATCTACTTTTCATTTTAACTAATGACAATCGATGTATTTTCATTAATTCATTAAACATGTACTAAATAATAATTTAAGAAAGTTGTATAAATTTTATAAGAATGAATAAAATTGTATTAATAGTTTTAAATATTCGGAATATGTTGTATCCATCTTTATTT